CATTCTTGGGAATAGAATAACTGGTTAGAAACTTGTGCCCGAACATCTCATGGATGAATGTGAAAACAAGCAGGAAAACCAACTTTGTCCCTTATTCGTACACTGCGCCAAAGCTTTCAACAGTTTCCAGCATGATGCTGTATGGAAGACACTTGTGGACCCAAAGTTTTTTGTGTGGCTAACCTATGAGCTATACAGAAATGTTTCAGGATCATCAGAGCTGGTGATCAGCATGTGACCCAATTCCAGTTTGAGACAGGAGTGAGGCAGTGGAGTTTTCTGTCACTTAATGGTCAAGATGGCGGCAGAGTAGGACACTCTGGTTGGAGCTCCTCTGTTCCCCAGTCCCTTTACCTTTTTGTCCCTCTCCTCTTGTGGATTCCCCCGTGCCCACGGAGAGTGGACTTGCAGAGCAAATATGCCGAGTCCCGTGGCAGACCTGAGGGGGCACAGGCCGAGTCCCGCGGCAGAGCCAGCACAAGCAGCATGGCCTTGTGCCCTGTGAGCCCCAGAGCACTGTGGGCTGCAAGCCTCGAGCAGCAGCACCGCACAGGCAGCGAGTCCTGGATTGAGACCAGTGTGAGGGGACAGTCATTACCTTAGAACACTGTAATGTTAACCCTTTAATATTGTCCTATTTTTAACCCTTTTTGAACTCTGTAATTAAGCAGCTACTTCTATTTCTCTGCTGTATCAAAGAATTGTACCTAGGTACTTGTACCTAAAAGGTCACCTTCAGACGGCAGACATTGTAAAAGTTTTTCACTGCACTCCTACAATGGAGTACGTGTGATGACAAAAGGATATTCTATTGTATTGTATGTTGTGGGAGAGACAATGGTGCAACAATGTGGCTGCATTGTAGGAGATATTGCAAATGGAATCTCAGTTATGCAGTTCAAACATCATGGTCCTCGCCAGAACAACACATATTAATGACTTGGAGGAAGGAAGTGAAGGTACTGTCAACAAATTTCCAGGCAACACCAAAATATGGGGAAAGGTGGTTTGTGGGAGAGGATAGAGAGTTTCCAGAGATATTGATCGGTTAAGTGAGTGGGCAAAATGTTGGCGAATAGAGTATAACGTGGGAAAATGTGAAGTTGTTCATTTTGGAAGGAAGATCAAAAGAATGATATTATTTAAATGGAGAAAAACTGCAGAAAGCTGCAACAAAATGGGACTTGATAGGAACTTATGCACGAAACCCAGAAAGCTAAAACACAGGGGCAGCAGGTAATCAGGAAGGCTAATGGATGTTGGCCCCTTTTTCAAGGGGGTCGGAGTATAACAGTAGGGAAGTCTTATTGCAACTGTACAAGATGCTGGTGAGACCATGTCTGGAGTACAGTGAGCAGTTTTGGTCCCCTTATTTAGGAAAAGATATTATTTCACTGGATGCATTTTGGAGAAGGTTCACTAGGATAATATGGAGGGAATGTCTTATGAGCAAGGACTAAACAGGTTGGCACTCTACTCACAGGGGTTTAGAAGAATGAGAGGTGATCTCAGTGAAACATTTCAGATTCTTAAGGGGCTTGACAGGGTAAATGCTGAGAGGTTATTTCCCCTCATGGGAGAGTCTAGGACCAGAGGGCATAGTCTCAGAATGAAGGGGCACCAATTTAGTACTGAGATAAGGAGCAATTCCTTCTCTCAGAGGGTTGAGAGTCTTTGGAACTCCTTGCCACAGAGAGCTGTGGGGGCAGAGACCTTGTGTATATTTAAGGCTGAGATAAACAGATTCTTGATCAGTAGGGGAAATCAAGGGTTACGGGGAAAGGGCAGGAACGTCATTCAGCCATGATCTTATTGAATAGTGGAGCAGGCTCGGGGGGCCAAATGGCCCACTCCTGTTCCAATTTCTTATGGTCTTATGGTCTTAGAAAGAAAGAGAGCGCAACCAGGGCTCGCCTCGTCAAAAGACCAGCCTTTGATTGAATGTAAATGAAGCAAAGACCAACAGCGCGGCTTTAAATGGCGATAGAAAAGTCAGGATTGGAAGCACTGAGAGAACGTCAATGGATAATTTCAACTTTGGCTTGATGATGAAAACCAAAGTTACATCCAAGAAAGAAATGCAGGTTCAGACCAGTTGGTGCAAAAGATGTGACCAGTCTCTTAAGTAAGTAATGTCAGAAAATCCAAAAGCATCAGCGTGAATCACTAGTACCCTCACTAGTGTTGAATGTTGCACTTCATAAATGAGAGGGTTAAACACTGAAGAAATCATGATGAGAGGATAATAACAGCTCTTGAAATACGGAGACATTGAAGATAGCTCAAACTCAGCTGGATGGTCAGAAAGATAGGCGACTAGGTAAGATCAAGAGAAGATGTTCGGGGATCAAAAGGATTGCTAAGTCCAATTGGAGAGAAAGAAAAGCAGCCAATTACGGACATTGGAAATGAAAACCGCACAGCCTTGTCCTGCCAAAAACTGAAGGAGAATTCGGGGTAAAAATAGAAGACAAAGAAAAATCAAATGGAGAGAGAGTGTTGAGACATGGACTGAGGGGATCTTGAAGAAAGCCAGAGAAGTATCAAGGCATTGTCAATGACCCCATCAAGATTATGGTGAAAACACAACAATGCAGAAATTAGGAATTTTCTCCCACAAAGGGCTGCAGATGTGGGATCAGTTTAAATCTTCTTTTGTTGTTGGGTTAAGGTATCAAGTTTTAGAGTAAATGAAGTTGAAGTTCAGATAAGCCACGATCGAGATGATTGGCATTGCAGCATTGAGAGACTGAATTTTCTAGCCCTATTGCTGTGTTTGATTAGAATGACTATTGCTTGATTAGACAGGTAGGTTTTAAGGAATATCTGAAAGGTGTAGGAACTTCGAAGTTTCGAGAGGGAATTTCAAAGAGTGTCTAAAGCTGGGCTGCCAGTGATAGTGCACATGGAATGGGGGCATTTGCAAAAGAGATCAGAATTGAAGGAGCACAAGAGTTCACAGAGGAATGTGGGGCAGGAGGAGATTATGGTGATTGAGCGAAGACAGTGGAGGGATTTGGACACAACGGTGAACATTTTAAATTTAGGGAGTCACTCCTAATGTAGATCCACAAGCCCAGGGATGATGTGTGAGTGTGACTTAGTAGAAGTTTGGATATGGAAACAGAGGTTTGGATTAACTCATCTTCATGGAGCATTGAGGAAAAAAGGTTGCCCAGGATTCCATTGGAAAAGTCCGATCTGGAAGTTACTAAAAGCATGGATCAGAGTTTAAAAGCATAATGCTTGAGCCAGGGACAGAATCAGACCATGTTATAAAGCTTGTCCAAGAAGAAACTTAGAAACATAATAAATAAGAGCAGAAGTAGACCATTCAGCCCTTTGAGTCTGTTCCACCATTCAATATGACCATGGTTGATCATTCAACTCAGTCCCCTGTTCCTGATTTCTCTCCATACCCTTTGATCCTTTAAGAATTATTTTTAACTCCTTCTTCAAATCATTCAGTGTTTTGTCCTCAACTGCTTTCTGTGGCAGAGAATTCCACAGGCTCACCACTCTCTGGGTGAAGAAATTTCTCCTCATCTCAGTCCTAATGGCCTCCCATATATCCTTAGACTGTGACCCCTGGTTCTGAACTCCCCAGTCATCGGAATATGCTCCCTGCATTTACCCTGTCTAGTCCTATTATGATTTTATAGGTTTCTGTCAGAGCTCCACCTCCACCCACTTCATTACTTAGACTTATGGGTTTGGGTTTGGAGGTGGAGGGCAGTGGGCTGAGGTCCTGCTGGGAACTGAAGCAAATTCAGTGCATACCATGAGAATAGTGCAGGCCTTCTTAGAACTGAACACCTATTGTTCAGCAATATTGAAAAAAGAATTAATTTTGTTTACATTTTCAAAATGCTCCAGTGAGCTGTTTGATAAACAGGTACACTTTTCCAACCTCAAGCAATGATTGGAATCTTTATCGAAGCAGGGAGTCATGGAGTCAGACAGCACGGAAACAGACAACCAGTCCAGTTCTGAAACTAAACTAATCCCACCTGCCTGCGCTCCTTGAAATGATTGGAAAGAGCAGTTAAGAGCCAACCATATTTCTGTGGGTCTGAGTCACTTGAAGGTCATTCCAGATAGGGACAACAGATTTCCTCCCCCAGAGATGGTAAGAACTGCCGATGCTGGAGTCTGAGATAACAGTGTGGAGCTGGAGGAACACAGCAGGCCATGCAGCATCAGAGGAGCAAGAAAGCTGACGTTTTGGGTCGGGTCCCTTCTTCAGAAAAGAAGAGTTCTGAAGAAAAGTCCCAGCCCGAAACGTCAACTTTCCTGGCCTGCTGTGTACTTCCAGCTCCACACTGTGTTATCTCAGATTTCCTTCCCCAAACAACTTTAGTGAACCATCATTACTGAGACAAGCTTTCAATTCCAAATTTTATTTATTGAATTCAAATTCCACTAATTGTCATGGTGTGATTTGAATATTTGTCGTCAGACCATACCTTGGGCTCTGCATTAACACTCTGCCATCTTCTTCCCTTCTCATACCAGTTAACTGGTAAACTGGTACACATATCAATGAAAATAGCACTGAATTACACACAGCAATCATACTTATCTCAGCCAATCTCAACTGTGCAATCTACACAAAATATATATAATCTTGTCTGAAAATATCCACAATGATGCTTTTATGAAATTTACTGTCTGTATCTTCTGGCACATACCATTGATCGTGATTGACATTTGTATGTTTACATGAGAGGAAAAGTAAGTTTTAATCTACTCAAGGTCGAAGCAAAGGGAACTGGTGAACAATTTGTACTGCTTTGCTCAGGTTGGGGAAAGGTTAAAAAAACAAAAGGAGCAGCTCAGAGCTGAAATTAGAAATTTGAATAAAGACCTGTGAAGTAAGAATAGATAATAATAACTGCAAATGCTGGAGTCAGAGATAACGCAGTGCGGGACCCTTCGTCAGAAATGGCCCCGACCCGAAACTTCAGCTTTCCTACTCCTCTGATGCTGTCTGGCCTGCTGTGTTCCTCCAGCCTCACACTGTGTTATCTGTGAAGTAAGAAGCCTTGTCTGGGAAAACTGGGTTGGAAGAGGTTTAAAGTCAATCCTGTGGTTACACCCTAAGCATGTGTCCAGCACCAATGAAAGTCCTGTTAATTTGTAAATGCGATCACAAAGTTAGTCTGGGGTTGCATGTATTATCAGCCAAGTTTGAAACCTGCATGTCTTAACTCAGAGGAACAACAAGCTAAAGGCTCCCTCCAGTTCAAAGTTCTCTCATCATAAAATTATATATCACAGTGGAAGCCCATTCGCTCGTGTTTTTTTAGGTTTTATTGTCACATGTACTCAAGGGTACAAGAGTACAGTGAAAAGTGTACGATGTTGCCACACACGGCACCATCTTAGGTAGATAGTACCTAGTGCAAAATCTTAAGATACAGAACTAGGAAAAATAGAGAAATAGGTTGAAAAGTTGAGCACTACATTTTCTTAGTGTAAAAGTAGA